CCAATCTAAAACGTTTGCTTCCCTGACTAGAGCAGGATTCAGAAGCGCTATCTTTAGAGGACAGTGGGAGCTATAGCCGTATTTTCCCAAGTATGCTACTGTTCCCCAAATGGGAGTGTGATCAGTGAGAAAAAGGGGAAGGATAGAATAGGCAAGCAGCAATTCCCCTCTACCTCCCAGTTGCCGGAGCTAGGAGCCCCTGAGACACACCACTGGCTTGGAGGTAACATCTAGGTCAATAATTACAGGGACTGTAACTCAAGAGGTCAGAGAATGACTGATCAGCTATGTGGAAAGGGGCCAGAGGCAAGTCAGAGTAAACCCTGGCCCAACATTACTGGCCCTTGCCTTGGGAGAGCATCTAATAGAATAAACATCCTTTAGGAGCAGCACATTAGGGGATTCCCTAGTTTGGAGATTTCTAAAAACGATACTTGGTTGCCTTACCCACTACCACTGCATGAGTTTACCACTGCAAACTCACATGCAAGAGTTTAGGGGCTTCCGGAAGCCTTTGACTCTCACAGATACTTGTGGTTAGAAAAGCATTAACTTGGCTATGAACACTGAGATCCTATCATTTACTTAAATGTAAACACTATTTTGGGTCTTAAATAAAAGCTACTTTTGTATTCTATTATAAGGCAAAATAGTTTACAGTAAGGACTTAGATACTTGAGTGCTGGTGTTCACAGCACCATTTATAACATCTCAAGATAAAAACAACCCATGTCTATGAACATAGAAGAAATGAAAAATTTGGTAATCATATCGTCCCCAACTGAAGATGACTTGTGGCTTTTGACTTTACACTAGTCCATGAATGATATATACTCAGTAGCAAACACATGGATTTTGAACTTTCCAAGTTTAGTAACATGGAATATAATTCTCTCAACAACTACCTACGGCTGAGGTGAATACTCTGAACACATTAAGGGCAAGAAAGACTAAACTACAATGTTCACTAGGTTAGGTGTTCAGTGATGAATAGTGATATGAAAATATAAGGCAAATAAACACCCCACCCAAGTTGATCATGGTGTTTTATCACAGCAATAGAAACCCTAAGACAAATTGGTACCAGAATTGTGGGGCATTTCTGTGACAGACCTGACCATGTTTTAGGAAGGATTGTGGGAGCACTTTGGAGCTTTGGGTTAGAAAAGCCATTGAATGTTGAGAGCTCAGTGAGCTGTTCTGTAGGAGTTTGGGAGATAAGAATGTTGAAAGTAGTGCAGACAATGGAGGCCTGGCTTGTGAAGTTTTAGAGGAAAGCAAAGACTCTACCATGCCAAGAGTTAAGAATCTGGTTTGCTGAGGCTGAATAATCAGCAACGAAGAAGAAGATACCAGAGCCACTAAAGTGAAACCTTTGTTGTGCTGGGATAATGGATGCTGGTCAGCTGGGGCTGAAGAATCGCTTGAGATTAATAAGAGGCTATCATCATTGAGGTGAAGTCTTCTTGGAAGTGTTTCCTCAGGGTCAGCACACAGAAGTTGTGTTCCAGAATCACTGAGGTTGTAGTTCCTGTTGGCAGAAGAACTTGGTCATGTAAAATCTTCCAGGTGGCACTGGTTTTGAAGGCATGAAGGGGTCATGGAGAGCTGCTGATACTTGGCACTATGAGGCAGGGTTGGAGTCCCTGAAGAGAGCCCAAGGGAGGCTACTGGTAAAAGCGCATCCAGCTGCAGCAGAAGACCGCAGCATTTTAGAAATGTCAATACCATGCGATAACCACCAAGAACAGCAAAAGCAGTAGACTGGAGCAAGGGGGAGCATAAAAGACAAGCTGTGTGCTACAGAGGGCAGAGCTGGAGAAGTGACCAAGTCCTTTGGAGGAGCCCAGGACTTGGCTCCTTGCAATAGACTGTTATTTAGTAATAAGGAGAAGTTCTGATATATGCTACAACATGGATGAATGTTAAGTGAAATAAGCTAGGCACAAAAAGACAAATATTGCACGATTCCACTTACATGAAATATCCAGAATAGGTAAATTCATAGTGACATTCAATAAGTTAGAGGTTACCAGGGACCATGGCCCATGAAAGCTGATCCCTGGAAATCTGACTGGGAGCAGGGGGAGACTAAGAAAGTCAGAAACGGGCAAAATAAAGCTGGGATCTAGTGAGCTGGCCACTTGAATGAAGACTCACCAGCAGCCGGATTCTTAGTGAGTCTGTTATATGTAACATCAATGAATTGACAGGTTACCCAGTCTCAGTAGGGGGAGGAGTCTCAGGGGTGTGTGATCAAGCAGTTATCCAGAACAAGGAGTCAGTACTTTTTGCTTGTATTGGTTTTAGCTACAGGTTGACTGTGAGCATCCATACTTAGACTGAATGAAGGCCTTGTCATTCCCATGAATCTGAGGCATTGGTGTCCTTGACATGCCCATGCATGTCAACAAAATACATTCACTAAGGACTTGACTTGCCTTTCACAAGGGGAGTCCAGCCATGGACTAGAGGAGGACAACTAGATAGTTATTGCTTAGTGGCTTCAGAGTTTCTGTTAGATAATAAAGCACTGGGGGAACCAGATCATGACTGCTGTTTGCCCAACAATGTGAGTGTAATTGATGCCATTGAAAGGCAAACCTAAAAATGGTTGTAAGTGGAAAATTGTAGGTTACATCTTCTTTTATGCAATAAAAAGAAGTCAGAAGCTAGGCATCTAATCTTATCACTCAGGAGGCTGAGACAGAAGGGTCAGTAGCCTGAGTGATAAAATATTGCCCTGTCCAAAACAACAACAACAATAACAATAAAACAAAATCAAAGACAAAAATGATAACACTGATAAATGGGAAACTTTGGAGACAGACAGCCATACTTTATAAGGAGCTGTTGGCTGATTCGAGAGACAAACACATACACACACACACACACACACACACACACACACACACACACACAATACCCATTCACATATAAGTATATTTCACACCAAGAGTTACATACCTCTTGATAAATGCAGTCATATTATTAATATATAGTTTATATGAGTTAATCTAGAATTGGGGCCAGCTACCCACAGAGTATAGCATGTAACAATATAGTTATATAGGTTAGCCAAAGAAACTGTTTATCTATATAGAAAAGCATGCTCTAAAAATAGAAGGAAGCGAAGGCCTGAACACTTGTGACATCCCATAGGTAGCTGTGAAGCATAGTTTAACAGTGCCAGTGTGCAAAGGCATGCGGATGGAGCCATTGGGAGGTGTGTGGGAGACTCAGTAATAATCAGTGTTGGTGAGTGTGTTGGAGGCTGAGTGTTCTGTGGAATGGCGGGCATGGGAAGGCAAGGGGCGGGATGGATGACACGAGCAGATGCTTAAGAACGCATTCCACCACAGCTTCCTTAGCACATCCAAACCATTTTACTCTTTCTTGTGTGGCCATCAGAGATGAACGTGTCTACACAGGTCCTTGGTAGCTATGTTAGCCCCTCCCACTGGTCCCCAGTAGTTCTCAGGTGACAGCGAGTTTCTCTCTTTAAATACTTTCTTCTGCTCACTGTGACCGCCATCTCAAGTGTGTCCTGCCTTCAGCTGTGGGGAAGCACAATGCTGGCTGGCAGCCAGCCCAGGGCCACAACTGGAATGGAAATCTCAGAATAGCCCAAGGTCCTTTACCAAGGATAAAGTGGCGGACATGACAGGCTGGGAACCGTGAGTCAGGAGCAAATGGCTCAGGCCACTCCAAGGAAGGAAACGGGGCAACAGTGCTGAGATATTACCGAGAGGCCACCTTAGAAGACTTTCAGCGCTGACCCTGGTAGCCTTTGTGATGACAGGCTGTACTGAGCAATGTGGTGGCTTACTGGAATACCCAGCTAGAGGCTGCCAGGAATCATGAGGGAGGCATGCGGCCTTGCAAGGGTCAGGACTCCACCTGTAACCGCTGTATACTCACTTTATTTCCCTCAGGGGCTAATTTTCCATACCTCTGATTAAAATCCCAACTGATTATGAAGGTTGATATCATATATTCTGTTAGGAAAGAAAGCTCTTGATTTGACAGTATTTGGATGAGCTATAGATTACTATCAGCCTTTCCAATTTTTAGGCTGCCTCTGAAAGACCAAGAACAGTCAAGACGAGTACGGGTGCAATGATTTAGTAAATACATGACACTCAAGTATGTTCTGTGTTTCTCTGAATTTCATAATAATTCTCTGAAAAGTATACAATTTGGCTTTCCACTAGAAAATCAAGAATAGTTTTGGATTTTTGACTGTATGCAATATCTTTGAAAGACTAGATGACTTTGAATTAACTTATAGGTGGGAATAATTAGGCTCATCAGAGACTAATAAATTTGGGGAAATGTTTATATATGCACGGATGACATAGATGCATGACTTTGCCAGGTGAGCTTTGTAGTTCCTGAGACCACTATTATTATTGAAAATGATTGACAGCTTTTCCATCTTTCAAATGTTACAAATCTATTGCAGGTTATCCAAACCATGTAACACAATGGTTCTTAGAGGAAATTGCCATATTCTTCACTGCACTTGGAATTCATTCATGGTAGAAAATTTTTCTGTCTTTGAAAATAATTTAGCTTCTGTAAGCATCATGCATGGATGACTCCAGGATGAACACATGCATGGATGACTCCAGGATCAACAGCAAACCTAAATGCTGACACCTCTCCTGACAGCATGCTGACTTTTCCTAGAAGAAATCAAGTCAAAGAGAAGTAAGAAGCTCATGCCCCCTTTCCGGTATAGTACCGATTTAAGGACGTATTCTTAACTTGGAGCATCTAACAAAGGATTTGAAAGGCTTTATATGAGATCTGCATATAATCCTCATGTCTACAAAGAAATAGCATACTGTGGTCTCAGAGGACAGAGAGCAGCCCATTGTCAGAGTGAGGGAGGTGAGGTGTGGCCTTTCTAAGTGATATAAACTTGGAGCAGAGTCAGGAGTCTACCCAGGAGCATGGTGCTTACCCAATCCCAGCACACCCAGGACTCCTCACAGGTTCAGGCAGTGACCAAGAAGACAGTTTATTGCTTCTTGTCTAAGCAAGTGTGAGTAATCAGGTAGTATTTCTGGTTTTTTGTTTTTTTCTTCTCTTTGATGTATCTAAGGGATAAAATGCAGTAGTTCTTAAATAGGAGATTGTTTTTTATAAACAGAAAAGTCTAATTTTAGACAGATATAATTTGTTTATATAGAACACACAGACATGCAACAGAGAAAAATATTCAGCTAGATTTAGAATGTTTAGGCAAAATAATGCAAATAATTTTATATTTACATAGCATACATTCATGTATAGTTAGTTTTTGAAAAATCCAAATGAGAGCCTGGTGTGGTGTAATTTCCAATGCTCTGGAAGAGGAGGCAAGAGGGTCAGGAGTTCAAGGTCACCCTTGATTACAAAGTGAGTTCTAGGCCTGCCTGGGCTGTGTGAGATCCTGTCTCAAGAAAATCTGAATAAGCCAAAAAGAAAAATTAAAAGGGCATATTGTTGACAAAGAGCTTGTAAGAAATGCCACTGAATATTACTAAACAAACATCATTGTTCATGGCTGCATATTATGTTGTTAGATGTAGCATCATTACCGTGTCTCCAAATGATGAACATTTATGTCATGAAAGTGTTCACCATTATAAACACTGATAGAGTAAATAAACTTGTACACACATCTGTTTATACCAGTTGCTTGTTTCCCTGGGACAAAATTCTACAACTAGAATTGTTTACTTTTTCAAGGATTTTGTTGTTGTTGTTTTATTTATGTGTTTACTTGAGATAGGGTCTCATGTAACCCAGGCTGCCCTCAGAGGATGACTTTAAACTTCTGATCCTGTATCTTCCACTTCAGAACTGATAGGGTTACAGTCATAATCTATCATACCTGGCTGGCTCTTTAAAGTTTTGGTTTCGTATAGATAAGTTAGTGATGTTTTATCAGTTTATATTCCAACCTGCTGAGTGCTGTTGGCTTGGCCTACGAATACCATCCTTCCCAAACAATGCACCTAGCAACCTTTGGTAATATAGGATCCCACTTGCCTCAGACTGAACATGCATGCTTTAATCGATGCAAGTAAGTTACTCCCATTAGCAACCTTTCAGTAATAAAAAACATGTATTGGGGCACACCTTTAAGGCAAGAGAGATGGGCTAATGTGGCCTGGATTGGTCTTGAATACATGTACAATGAGGCAAACTATGCTATCCCAGTGAACCTGGGGAAAATACCCTATTTACTATCTTATGCTTATGCGTAATCAGGCACACATACGATTATAATCAGATGCATCTTGGGAAAGGACACCTGCAGTGAGCCAAGGCTTATTTAATACAAGTCTGTCAATCAAAGTAGAGAACTGCCCACACTGTGCCCCTTAGGAATAAAACTTCTCCAGGTCTGTGGTAATTCTTGACAGCATATTTCTCTCTGATCTGTGCTATTGAAATGCTTTTGAGTAAAGTTTCCTTGCTACATTGCAAATCTATATTGGTTTTTACTTCACTAAGACCTAGAACCTGGAAATACCCAGCCCAGACCCCAACACTGCTAATATTATCATATGTATTTCTGTATTAATGTTTTAAGGAACTGATTTAAAAATTAAAATGAACTTTTAGAGAAACAATGTATAAATACCAATGGTAAAATAGGAACAGTGCAGTAGAAATTGCATTTCCCTCAAACACAAGAATTTTAGTCAGGTTTGCTCCCCTCATAAGTCCCGCTGCTACCTCGCCCTGTCCTGTCCTAAGGCACATGGTGGCAGAGAGTGCTGCCAGGCCTGTCACCTTCCCTGAAGCACACACGATGCTTTCCTACCCTCCTTCTAGTTAGGGTAAACATAAACTCTGAGTACAGTCCCTGTCTTCCTGTGTCGGCTTGCATGATGATGGGGCCTGGAGCATGGCAGTGTCAGGAAGGTGGCCCTCAGGTCTCTGAACACTTCATGCAAACCAACAACAAATACAGTGTCACATGTGCCAATAGTGAATTCTGCTATCTGAACCACCGAAATTGTAGAAACACTAGGCAATGCAGACAAGCAAGAGAAATAAACCCCATAGACTTCTAAAAGCCGGAGGCAGCCAATTTGACAGAAATTAGCACACACTGTCAAATCTTAAGCATACTGTTTATTCAGAGCAATCCATATTGGAAGTTGCGGTGAAAAGAAATGAGGGTTTGTTATTATTTTTCCTCTTTCACTGCAATTTTTCTCTCTGAATACATGTTGTGGAAAATAAGAAGCTACAACCCGTATTTATGTGTAAGGCATCGTTTCCCAAAATACAGTTATACACATAAATACTCATGTGGAAGAACAGAAAACGGGTATGACTAATAAATTTGCATCATTTCAATTTTATGTCAAGGGCCCAAAAGATGACTCAGCTTGTTGCCTAGCCTGACGACCTGAGTATGATCCCTGAGACCCACATGGGGAAGCAGGTCTCATAAAAGTTTAGAATTTGTTCTCTCCCTTCCATGTGAGTGTGTGCACATGCGCGTGCGCACACACACACACACAGAGACAGAGACAGACAGACAGAGTAAATAAATAAATAATGAATCCATAAGCAAGTGTAACAAAGCTTAAAGTTCGGCGAGAGCAATGCACGCTTGGTTTAACGGCAGATGGTGGTGCTAACCACTTTAGTTTCCCCTTTTCATCAGCTCACTTATGTTAGAAAGAGCACATGACTCTCTGACCAATGACAACTGAGCAGAAACAGCCCTGTTATGTTCCAGTGGCAGGGAGCTGGTGCAGCCTCTGACCTGGTCCTTGAGTGAGGCTTCTCCCTCTGGGCATGATGCATATGTGTCTGAGCAAGGAATAAGTCTTTCTTGTAAAGATATTGGGATTTCAGAATAATTGGACAACTGCGCCGCAGGCCAGCCTGCTGTGAGCGCAAGGCTCACACACTGTATCTTGTAACCTTCAACAGCAAGAACGTCACACACAAGCATCAAGACAGAAGGCCCGCAGCTCATTAATCACCCACAAACTGTAATAGGTATTTGGCATCTTAGCAACAATGGCTAATGTGAGGTTTAAAAAAACAAGACAAGGAGCTAGAGCAGAGTGTCTTGATGGGCACAGGGACAATCTTCTGCCCGAGGTGCCTGGCTTTCCCTGAGCTCAAGTTGCCTAGCACATAGCTCTTGCTGTGCATACACTATGCGGGAACTATTACCCGCATACACATAGCGGTTGGGACCAAAGCAGTGAGTCTCCTGACCTGCTGGCCTAGGGCTTTGTATCACACATCCTCCTGTGTAGCAATGAGTAGTTAAGTTAGTTGGTATTGGTGGAAAACGAAGTGGAGCCCAGAGTGTTGCCCCTTTAGCGTCTGCTATGACTTGGTTGTCGAGGGTCTTTCAAAGGTTCATAGGTAAATGTTGGGTGCTTAGGGTGGCAAGTGGCTGTAAGGAGAGGTGTTCTGGACCCTCTAGAAGTACAGTCTGGTGGAAGGCCGTTGGGAGTGTGCTCTCGCAGGATATTTGCCGGGCTCTAGTCAGCCTCCCTACCCCGCCTTGGGGACTGGATGTGAGTGTTTGCTCCTTTACGTCCATGTGGCACCACCATCCAGTTTCAGCCATGACCCAACCATGCTCAGCCTTAGGCCCCGGAGTTACCTTGCTGGACGAAGGGACCTGACTACCACAGGTTGTCCTTTGACCTTCACACCAGTGCTGTGAGGCACATGCCACACCCCCATATAAATAAGTAAATGCTGTGAAAACATTTTAATGACTTTTTTTTGAGAGATACTACCTGGGCATACTTACCGATCATACCTGTCATTTGAGAATATTAGAGTTTCAAAGATTCCACTGACATTCTATGTGGATTTGTGACTTCTCTTTCTTTATGTGGGACCTGCATATGTATGCATGTATGTAGGTATACTCACATGTGCACATGTAAATGTATAGGCCAGACACACAGTGAAATACCTAGTCTCCCTACTATCACAGGCTGAAGGTTATTCTTTGGCCTATCTCTCCAGCTCCTTGGACTCTTAGACTGCCCATACATTCAAAGTTGCCAGGATCAGGAATACAGTTGTGGAGTGGCCAACATAGCGAGAATTTGGGAATTTTTGTTTTTTGTTTTTTGAGATAGGGTTTCTCTGTATTGCTTTGGAGCCTGTCCTGAAACTAGCTCTTGTAAACCAGGCTGGCCTCGAACTCACAGAGATCTGCCTGCCTCTGCCTCCCGAGTGCTGGGATTAAAGGTGTGCGCCACCAACACGTGGCAATTTGGGAATTTTTAAAATAGAATTTCTGTGCATAGACTCTCCACATTAGTCTCGCAGATACGCAGCGGTGTGGCAAGCTCCTTTTATGATGCTGAATTATTTCACTGTGTCTGCAGGTAGGTATTTCACTGTGTGTCTGCAGGTAGGTATTTCACTGTGTCTGCAGTTAGGTATTTCACTGTGTGTGTCTGAAGGTAGGTATTTCACTGTGTCTGCAGGTAGGTATTTCACTGTGTGTGTCTGCAGGTAAGTATTTTGGAAGCCATCAGGCTGTATCTGTGGATAAAGGCCCCTTTTTCTGTCATCCACCCTGGCTCCTTCTGCCTTCACAAGTTACTTGCTGTCATCTTCTGGTTTAGGAATAGCTGAAGGTCATTTTAGGGAAAAGATTTTTTTGACTACCAGAAATAAAAGATAGAATTTTATATGCAGCAATTACCAAATTTCAAGCACATGGTCAATGAAAACAGACTAGAAAGGAGGGGGTAATTTAAGTTCTCTGTGGGAAGAAATTGGCATTTTAAATATTCCTGTATGTGGCCTTTGTTTATCGAACACTATTTTAAAGGGCTAAATAAAGCACTGTGCCTTTAAATTGATTTTATCACTACGGTAGTTTACTAGTTGTAGATCTGCACTATTTATCTCTGGCTGTCTCTTTCTGACACCCACAGATGTGTCCACCCACACATCTACCCACGCAGCCCTACACTCTGACTCATATTCAGAACCATTGTCAAAAAAAAAAACAGCAAACAATTGCACTGGAACTGTCTTTATTTCAAAGATATGCTGAACTGTTTGATCTATTTCCATGCACTGTGAATCACCGAGTGTTGTCAGTTGTCCCTAGTAGACAGAAGAGGCATGCATGCTTGTCTTCAAACGAGTTTAGCAAAAACTGATACACTTTGAAGCATATTGAGGTTGCAAGAACTAGGGGATATTTACTATAATAAACCCTGACCATACAAATCCTGGCCATTGTTTCTAATTTACACTCTTATCCTCAGACTGTCAGTATGTCCAGAGCTATCGTGTCTGCCTAGAGAATGAGAATGACTCCAGCTCTGCCAGGCCCAGCACTGAACAGTTTCACAAGGGAGAGAAGAAATGACTCAACTCATCAAATGGTGGTGAGGTACCATTTCTTTTTCTGTGAGTCTTCAACCCAGTGTCACTAGTGTCTGAAACAAAGCCAAGATCCCAACGGAAGGGCAAGAGAAAATCCTCCTGGTAAATGCCAGAAAGCTCCTTTGCTGGGTCCCAAGGACTGACCTGTGGAGTTCATTCTATGCCCACTTTATGTTATTTACTGTAGGTGTTTGATGAGTGGTTTATGTGACTTACTAACCCGTCAGCTAATCACAGGCATCAGGTTAAAGCAGCAGATCCTGAAGGCAGGCTTCAGGAAAACAGGCCAAACTCTGTCCACAAATAAGGAAGCCGACCGTCTCAGCCACTCAGAGAACAGAAAGTTTATGAGAAGTAGATTAAAAGTCAGAAGAGTTAGGTTAGGAAGAAGGCATTCAAGGCTCCCCTGGAATTACTTGAAGATGGCCCACTTTGTGTCTCAGGGAGGAACCAAGCCTTGACATGATGAGAATTAGGCATCACAGGAGGACTGAGTTTGCTTCTGATTGAAGAGCCAAGAGTATGCAACACCCTTACTTCAAAGAATGTTGCTTATCCCTCCCCATAGTCCCTCCCTATCCCTTCCCATCCCTCCCCATTTAATCCTCATATTCTAGTTTCTTCTTTGTTGATTTATAGCTATACTATATTTCCCCTTCCGTGGAACTGTTGTGATTATTTTGAATAAAACACACACGACTAAAGATAATAGCTAACATACATCTGTAAGAGAAAACATGCAAAATTTCCCTTTTTGGTTCTGGGTCACCTTACCCAGGATGATTATTTCTAGCTTCATCCATTTAGCTGCAATTTTCATTTGTTTGTTTGTTTTTAAATAGCTGAATAATATTCTATAGTGCAAATGTACAACATTTTCATTATCCATTCATCAGATGATAGACATCCAGGCTATTTACAATTTCTGGATTCAAGTAAGGTTTTAAAAAACTATGTAAGTGCCAGGCAGTGGTGTCACACACCTTTAATCCCAGCACTCGGGAGGCAGAGGCAGGCAACTCTTTGTGAGTTGGAGGCCAGCCTGGTCTACACAGCGGAGTTCCAGGACAGTCACGGCTACACAGAGAAACCCTGTCTAGAAAAACAAAAACAAAGCAAAACAAAAAACAAAAAAATACCTCCAAATACCCCAAGCCAAAGCAAAGCAAAGCAAACCCCAGCAACAACTACAAAAGTAACATACACCAGTTATCTAAAAGTCTTTTAGAGAAGACCAGAAGGAAGAAGTCAAGAGTTTCCATTTACCCACCTCTCTCCAGCAGCCACGGTCCACAGAAGTTCTCCCATTGTCTGTGGTTAATATTTTTATAAGTAGTACAGGGAACTCCAGCAATTTCGGAGCTTTTGTTATCCAGAGGAGTTGTGTTCTCAGGCTCTTCACCAAAGGAGGCAGATGCATGTCTGCAGCCAGGGTTCCTAGGGGGTGGACAGTCAAGGATGCACATACTGCTGGCTTCAAAGTAGGAGCCCCACAGAGCCTGCTATCTTTTATCCACACAATCTTGAGACTCAACTGGTCTCTTGAATAGGAGACAACTCTCTGAAAGAGCATCTTTCTTACTCATAGAAGTCTGTGTGACTCAATGCCCTTAAAAAAGATACCAACAAATCTAAGCTCTCTAGAAAGAGTCACAGAAAGGGGGCAGTGGCTTGGCTTAGCAGGAGGGCTGGTCCCTTTGCCCATCACCTCCCCAGCCCTTGCTGACTCTTCAAGAGGGAATCAGATGGAAACACCAGCTTGACTACCTCCTACAACAGGAGCTGCAAATCAGTCCAGTCAAGGGCTCTAGGGTATTAAACTAAAGTCTGATTTATCTGAACTGAAATTCCTGTGTACCCGAGATATCTATCCAAATTGAAGCAGCTGGCTTTTATTCACTGAGGAATAGAGAGCTGTTTTAAACAATAGGTAACGTAGTGGTGCAGAATTCAAGTGTAGGCTTATGTACTTGAGGTAAACATTTGCTCAGCAAGAAACACAATTCTACTTTTTAATCAATCTCATGTTTTCCATGCAGATTGCAACCGAAAGAAACATCTATAGGAAACAAGACTTTCACATGAAGCATGTAAATTTTCCATGTATTCATAATGGAGATGGGCTGGTGGTCATCAAAGTAGAGCAATATTTCAAAACAACAAGCGCAGAAAGGCAGGGTCATGCTACCAAATATAGCAACCCTATTTCTGGCAGGCTCAGAGCAAGGTCAGCCCCAGGGACAGCCAGGCAGTTTCACCAAAATGGCATCGTCAGGGGTGAGAGGTGGTGCTTAACCCTCCTCCCGAGAACACCACAGTGCTCTTGCAGGCCTGTTTATAAATATTTGCTTCTGAGCTGTTTTAGGGGAGCGTTCCATACACATTTGGCTTCCAATGAGTCGTTCCTGATCTGGTTCTCACCCAAAAACACCCTGCTTGGCTTTTAGTGAAGAGTGGGCCTGATAGCTCAGTGACGTATTTACATTTATAACTGACTCAAATGAAGATGGAAGGAGGTGCTGGAAATATATAGACATGAGGCACCTTTGTTCTTTGAGTTTGACAATGATGTACCTCAGCTGCTATTTAAGATACTAGGTAAGAACACCTCAGAATTCACGTTACTAATATCAACTTTTACTATTACTGTTATATTTAAGCTATTCAGCAACAACAACAAAAATCAATTGAGGGATACTTGTAGAACTGTTCATCTTTTTCTTCTTCTCTATTGAACTTGAAGAAAATGAGGGCTTTTTATTGCGATTGTGGTGAAGCCATTCCAAACCAGAGCTGAGGAGCCTCTTTCTGTGACACAGCATGAGGCATAATGAAATGTGTGAACCAGCAATGAATCTCTCTGTCTTTCCATTTCTCAAAGGCAGGATATGGGAAGTGAGTGGGTCCCTATGAGCGTTGAGATGAAGTCAGTACGGAAAAGGTTTTGCAGAAAAGTGACAATTACAGTGTTCTTCCTAAGGACAAGGGAGGCAGAATGTAGCATTTATTTCTCTGTAGATTAGAGTAAGGATTGCAATCACAAAGTCCTTGTGTTTTAAAATGAACTCTACAGCCCCAGTCATATGTTAATATTAAACACTTAGGAATGACTTTTATTCCTCCTTACTTCTAGAGAAACTCTCTTCTCATTTTTCTTGATATATACTCCTCCATGCATTTTTAGTTTTTTTCCAATTTTGTGAAGAATTTGGGTATGAAAAGAGTATCACTCTCTTCTTAACTACAGTTTAAGAAAAGTAGTTTCATTTGTACGTAGATGAATGGCGGCTGTCACTTGGTCTTGTGTGGAGGTGACAATAAAGGATGGTGGAAGGAGGAAGCACAAAGCACTTGGCCTATCTAAATGAGCATCCGTTTCTATGATTCAGTAAAAGCAGTGTTTGCTACATCTCTACATTTCTTAAGATAAGATTGAAAGTATCTTTGCATTTTACAGCCAATTCAAGTGTTTCAATGATAAGCAATTCAGGAGCTAGTGAAATAACTCAGCTGGTAAAAACAACGATCACCCCTAGCCCAACAAATTGAGTTGATTCCCAGGAACTATATGATGGAAACAGAGAACTGAACTCTGCAAGTTGACCTCTGATGCATACATGCCTGCAGTGGTGCATGCTCACATGACAGCAAGTGTCAGAACACACGCATGCATGAATGCATCAGGAACCCGAAAATTAAGGAAATTCCTCCCACCTTCTCAATCTCTCTCTCTCTCTCTCTCTCTCTCTCTCTCTCTCTCTCTCTCTCTCTCTCTCTCTCCCCCCGTGTGTGTGTGTGTGTGTGTGTGTGTGTGTGTGTGTGTATGAGTGCCCAGGCACTTGTGTATTCATTGTCTGTAACCCTCAAACACTGGGAGTTAACTGGGAAAATAATTGAGTGTGTCAACCCACACTGGGAAGGAGAGAAAAAGAAGAGACGATGAGAACTGTGAGGTGACCCTCATCACCTGACTTCCACCTCTCAGCCAGCAACATGAGGCTCTATGATCCTCATGTGGAGACCTTTCTCTTATTTGCTCCAGTAGGACTCAACCTTGGAGTTACAGGGTCTGGAAGTGGTAGAAACACCTTAAAGGTAATTACAACAATAGTAACAATGAATACATATTGAGATTCAGTCATGGTGGTTTGAATAGGAAATGTATCCAAACATTTGGTCCTCAGCTGATGGTGCTATCTGAGACGGTTACGGAACCTTCAGGGGGTGGAGGAATTACGTCAGTAAGGGTGGGTTTTATAGCCTCAAATTACTTCTGCTTTCTCTGCTTCCTATGTATGGTTGAAAATGTGATTAGCCAGTGTGGTGATTTGAATGAGAACAGTTTCCATAGGTTTGAATGCTCAGTTACTAATTAGTGGAGCTGTTTGGGAGGGATTAGGAGGTGTGGACTTATTGGAGATGTGGCCTTGTTGGAGGAGGTGTGGCCTTGTTGGGGGAGGTGTGGCCATGTTGGGAGAGGTGTGGCCTTGTTGGGGGAGGTGTGGCCTTGTTAGAGGAGGTGTGTGCTGGGGGTAGGCCTTAAGGTTTCAATAGTTCACAACAGGCCCAGTGTCTTTTTCTATCTGCCTGCAGATCAGCATGTAAGCTCTCAGTCCCATGCCTGCCTGTGTGAGACCATGCTTCCTGCCATGATGACAGTGGACTGACCCTCTAAAACTGTAAGCCAGCTCCGATTAAATGTTTTCTTTTATAAGAGTTGCCGTGGTCATGGTGTCTCTTTAGCAATAGAACAGTGACTGAGACTGCTAGCCTCCTGATTCTGTCATCTCCTGCACCAGAATGGACTGTATCCTTCTGGAACTCTAAAGCAAAAATAAACCTATTTCTCCTCTAAATTGTTAGAATCATGCTATTTACCACAACAACAGAAAAATAACTAATAGAGACAGGGACGATTCCTTCTTTCTATTACCAGGTACCTATTTGCTGTCCATAAACCCACTATAAAGTGGCTATGGTGTGCTTGGTACTTTGTGGCCACTGGGGAACAAATGATCCTAAAAATACAAAACTACCTTTGTCATAGAGACTATTCACCGGGAAGACAAAAAAAGATGAAAATAACAGTGTTAACATGTGCTAGTTTGGAGAAAAGAGGTAAACTAGAAGCCACCATTTCTCTGGTTCTCTAGTGTACAATTGCAATGAATGTACTTGACAGTTGTAGAGCTTCTGCATCGATTTCTTGAAGTGTGAGCTTGAAGCTACAGCAATAGGGGTCATAGCAATATGTTTGCTCTCTCACTAACATGATCATAAAGGAGAAATGCTGAATCCCTCGGGGATGGCAGACTGATGGTGGCCTTTAAAACCCAAAGGATGCAAAATAACAGCCTTTGTTCATCCCACTCAATCTACTCTGACTCTTCCAAAGAGCAATTGTGTCCTTGAGGATGATAAACTCAACCAAATAGTTTTCCTACTCACATTTGCTGGAGTAGATATAACACCTTTGCTGCAAATACCTTGTGTTGTTGGCAAATGTGCCCATTTCCATTTTCACTATGAAAGAGAAATAAAAATGGCACAGACTTTTATAGTTTTAACCGGGGCTAATTCTTTTGCCTGTTGTCAGCTTGTGTCCTTATATATCCAAGGAGCACCTCTCCAGGGGTGGCACCATACAGTGGGCTGGGTTCTCCCACATTAATCACTAATCAAGAAAATGCCCCCACAGGCTTGCTTTCAGGAAATCCAAGGGTGGGGCATTTTCTCAGCTGAGGTTCCTCCTCCAAGATAACCTTGGCTCATGTCAAATTGACAAAAAACTGAGTGTGATTCTACAGCAGGGCTGGCATGGTCTCCTCCCACCCAGCCTCGATGGGTGTGAAGCGCCATGCCTGGTTTATCTTTCACAAGTCTTTTCTTTCTCTCTGCTATTCATATTGGGTTCTATATTGCTTTGTCTTCTTGTCATTTTCATTTTGCCGTTGAGCCCATCTGTCCCAGTTAGTTTTAACTGTTAACTTGAGCCTCAAATGAATAAGTGCCTAAGTCACATCGGCCTGTGGGCATGTCTTTGGGAACTGGTCTTAATGTGGCCTGCTGTAGGTGAGTTCAGGCATAGGACTGGACTTTGGCTGGTGCGTCCTGGGGCAGGCAGTCCTGAGCTGTGTAGCTGTGTAGGAAAGCCATCTGACTGTGACAAGCTGTGTTGCCATGGTCCCTGTGGTACTTCTTTGCTTGAAGTCCATTTCTTAGTGAGAGATAATGCCATGTGGAATGCAAAGCAGAACCGACTCCAAGTCCTGCCTTGGCTTCATCATCTCTCAGTGATGAACAGAGACCCAGAACTGTGAACCAAATAAGCCCTTTCCTTCCTCAAGCTGCTTTTGTTTCTTACCACAGCAATAGGACCTACCAAGAAAACCATCTAATGACATTTTTAATGTTTAGTTATTGGCTCATTTTATATTTAGGTGTTTTATTTCAGGACTAGAGATCAAACTCCAAGCATTGTGTATGCTAGGCAGGAACTTACCACTGACAGCTCCCCCACACGGGGTGCAGTTTTTAATTCTAAAGTGTCCATTTAGTTCCTTTTTTAATCTTCTTTTTTTGCTTAGGTTTTCTCCTTTTTCATAGTATTCAAGAATGTTTATGCTCTGCAAGCTTTTTTTTGTGATGAGTGCTATAAAATCCCAGTCTGAAGGTAACTGTGGAAATGAGGGCTGTATTAATTTGCTTGACCAGGTTAAGCACTTTCGTCATACATAAAGATACCCAGACACTGAATTAGGCCTTTCAATATACAGAAATGGCATCAGCCCTGAATGTGCTGCCCGTGTAAAAGTAAGTATAAAAGATACAATTCTAACCCAGGAATCCCACACCAATTTTAGCATCGGCATCTGTTTTCTAGCTATGTTTTAGACATCTGGTTCAGGTTCGGGGGAAATTCAGTGGTCCTGTGCTTGCCTGGCATGCATGAGGCCCCAGATTCAATCCTACACACAACACACACACACACACACACACACACACACACACACACACACACACACACACACCCTACCACCACCACCACCCAAAACTAAACCAGACCAACTGGTTTCTGTTTGGATCACTTCTTCCAGCTGTTCCAGTCGTGTGGCCTAACCCACTTGGTGGTCTGTGGCACATGTGCTGAACAGTTTGTTCTGTAAGTGGCTACAGTACACAGAACCATGCCCCTCAATATGGTGCACACTCACTCTCATTTACTCCGCACCCTGTAAGTTATCTTACAGGTTGGGAGAGACTGTGGTGCTGTGAAGATCTTCATCTGGAGGGAATTATGGTCTTTATCCATTCAAATCTGGGCCATTTATAATAAACAGAAATGTATTGACTGACACTGGGGGGCTGGGAAGTCCAAGATTAAGGTTTTGGCTTCTGATGGTCTTCATAGGATGTCACCTTGCCCAAGGTGGAAGAGAAGAGACAGCCCACTTCCAAAAACTCCCAACTCCACATTTTTTTTTTGGTCAGGGCCTTGCTAAATAATCCAGGGAAGGAAGGAGAAAGACAACAGGGAGGAGGCAGGGAGGGAGGGAGGGAGAGACGGAGACACACAGAGAGACACAGAGAGATAGAGACACAGATATTGAGACAGAGACATACAGAGACAGAGAGATACAGAGACACAGGAGGGAGGGTTAGTGTGATTTACTTTGTACCCGGAAGGCAGAGGAAAGGACCACACGTCAAAGGAATGCAGGCCACCTCTAGAAGCTGACAATGACAAAGGAAGGATTTTCCTCTAGGTCCTCCAGAGAGAATGTAACTCTTTAACCCCATAAGATCCATTTTGGATTTTGGATCTTCAGGAATACAGAATAATATATTTTGTTCCTTGAAGCCACTACTTTTGTGGCAATTTGTTAGAACAACCACGGGATGTCTTCAGTGGTGGCAGAGTTTTACTATTCTACCTCAAGCAACTCTATTCGTGCCCCACTACAGGAGTGAGTTGGGGAGGGTGCAGCTTTTCCATGGTGCTTCAAATCACCACAGTTAATGGCTTAGAACAACACAAACATATTAGCTCTTGGTTTCCTTTAGTGAGGCGTGCCATGCATTGTAGCCCAGAGTCTCGATGTCTTAGGGTTTCTATTGCTGTGAAGAGACACCTTGACCATGGCAACTCTTATAAAGAAAACATTTAATTGAGAGGACTCGCTTACAGTTTCAGAGGTTCTGTCCATTGTCATGATGGGGAACTTGGTGGTGCGCAGGCAGACGTGGTGCTGGAGCTGAGAGTCCTACATCTTGCAGGCCACTGGAAGTCGACTGGCTGTCACACTGAGGGAAGCTAAGAAAAAAAGATCACCAAAGCCCGCCCCCACAGGGACATACTTCCTCCAACAAGGCCACACCTCCTAACAGTGCCATTTCCTTTCAAACCACCACACTTGCTAATATTCAGTCAAGGTTCTGGGTGGTCTCAGTCTCATGTGGAGGCCCAGCTAAAAGACTGGACACACTTCTACAGTCCTTCACATCACTGGGAGAGTTTGTTTCCTTTGAGTTACGAGACTCAGAGCCTCAAGTGGGGCCAATCCTGCGGGATCCTGGCTTTGTAACTTCTGTTGATTAACTCCAGGCTGATAGTGTCAGACTGAACCACAGGACACAGCTGGTCTTAGGGAACCTGCTGCTGTAGAAGACCCACACACATTTGGTGAGCACAGTGTTTGAGAAGACAGGAAAAGCAATCTGTTTCCTGGGAGCAGTAACCCACTTCACCCCCCCCACCTGTCAATCTCCAGTAAGTGAGTTTCATATTTTGTCCTTGTGGGGAGTGTGGTTACTGCTGCTGGGAGATTTAAAAATGGGTTGTGTTTACTCCATTCGCCAGATCTGGAGACTGCTGTGTTTTGAAATCAGACATTAGAAGAGTGAAAGATAATGAAGTCAGAGGAGAGGCCAGTGAGAAATAAGTTCTGGGCCAGATTATGCAGTTGACTAGTGTGTATTGTGGGCAAAGGGCTTGGAAGTGTGGAAACAAGCTGGAGAGGTTCAGGCCACAGTTTAGTTTCTGCACTAAAAGTCTCAGTTTGGGGACAGAGCTGTAGCTCAGTTGGAAGAGTTCTTGTTAGCATCCATTAAGCCTGGGATTCAGTTCCCAGTACTGTATAAACTGTGCATAATAGCACATGCTTTTCTTCACAGCATCTGGCAGAGGAGGGTGTCTTGCAGGCAAGAGAATCAAATTTTTGGATTCTTCTCAGCTACATAGGGAGTTCAAGATCATCCTGGACTAGAGCCCCTACCTCAAATATCACCACAACCAACAACAAAAATCAATTTTGATTTATATGGTTTATAATCACACATCAATATGAGATGAACTGATCTGCCACAGTCTTGGTCTTGACTTTCCACATTCTAGAATTATAGAAATCCATCTATTCTTTCTGTGCATGTGTGTGTGGTGTATTGTGTATTGTGTGTGTGTGTGTGCATGCATGTGTCTGTGCATGAAGTGTGTGTGTGCACTAGGGACCGAACCCAGGGCCTCCTGCATGCTTGCTGATATCAATGAGGTGAGTATGCTCTTCCTCCACAAACTCCTGCTACCACTATTCATGGTGTCCTGCCTCTAAATACTCCAGAGTGTCCAGAGACAGCCGACCATGAATAGGACTCTCTGAAACCATGAACCGAAGTACGTTTTCTCACTCTCAGTTGCTTATGTCATGTATTTGGTCACAGCAATGACAAAGTGCAGCTGGATATCTAGAATTAGCCTCCCTGGGATTGTTAGAATATTCAGTTGCCTTAAATATCTCACATTTGGTTTGGAATTAACTTCCTTTGATGTAGAGCAAACTGTGAGCATATTAATTAACTAAGACACTTTCATGTATCTTAGGTTGAGAATATAACTCTTAATTCTGAAAAGCTTCTTCCATTCCTTAGAACTTTTCATATGGAACAATGATTGGACAAGGATGACTCAGTCCTAGAAACGGAGCACAAAGAACAAAATATAACAAGCATAACCTAGGCCTGTGGTTCTGACCTAATCAGTTAAAGTGCGCAGAGATGCTGTCTTGAAGGCACACCTGTTGAGGCTGACTGTAGATCTTCACCACTCTGCTCCTCGACAATACCCCCAGCCCATCTGTAGCTCTGCAACAGAACTGCAGCCCCCCCCCCCGTCTCTAGCCCCTGCCACAGATCTTCCCTTCCTAATTTCCCTCCCCTACTCATTGCTTTACTGCTGCCATTACCTTCCCTGGGAAGCCACAGGTAGGTTAACTGTAGATCTTCACCTCTGCCCCATTCCTCCAAGTCCAGTCCCCAATCTCATCCCCGACTCTGCATCAGCCCTTTTACTATGGCCTCTCCTTACTCTCTGTGCCCATTCCCAGGAGACTAACTCAGCAGAGCTGGGTGGAATAGCCTGTTTTTCTCTGTCTTGTGAATGCCATCAGTCCCTACCCCCACCACAAGCCCATTCCCATTCCTAAGTGTTACCTCCCAATACCTAGAAAAGCATTTTACCTTGAAACCCCAGTGCCCACACCTGGCAACATCCAGATGAACTTCCTACCAGGAAACCAAAGCCACCACACTCTCTTAAGAACCAGAGAGGGCAACAGAAACCAAAGAACAAAACACCCACGCAACCAAGACAAGACCAGATATCAGCACCTGGAAATACAATCTTCCCAATCCAAGATGCCCAGACACCAGCACAAAAACACAATAACACCCAGGACAATATGTCTTCCAAGAGCCCAGCAACCTTAGCACAGCAGGCCTGAATATTCCAACATAGCTGAAACACAAGAAAAAGACTTTAAAACACCCATTAAGAATATGATAGAGATCCTTAAAATAGAAATTAATAAATCCTGAGCTTGATAGTTTTATGCCAACTAGACACAAACTGAGGTTATTTGAGAGGAGGGAATCTCAATTTAGAAAATGCTTCCATAAGATTGAGCTGTAGTAGGCCTGTAAGGCATTTTCTTAATTAGTGATTGATGTGTGAGGGCCCAGCCCATTGTGGGTGATGCCATCCCTGGGCTGGTTGTCCTGGGTTCTGAAAGAAAACAGGCTGAGTAAATCATGGAGTGCAAGCTAGTAAGCAGCATCCCTCCATGATCTCTGAATCAGCGCCTGCCTTCAGGTTTCTGCCCTGTTTGAGTTTATATCCTGACTTCCTTTAATGATGAGCAGTGATGTGGAAGTATAAGTCCAATAAATTCTTTCCACCCCAAGTAGCTTTGGCCATGGTGTTTTGTTCCAGCAATAGAAACTCTAACTAGGACAAACACTTAGAAGAAATCTGTGAAAAAAAACAAACAGTAGAAGGAAACGAATAAAGCAGTTCAAGACCTGTAAGTGAAAATAGAATCAATAATTAAAACTCAAACTGAAGATCTAGAGATGAAGAATTTAGGAACTCAGATAGGAACCACAGAGGCAGCCTTCTCCAAAAGAATACAAGAGATGAAAGAGAGAATCTCAGGCATTGATTAATGATAGAAGAAATGGATACATTGACCAAAAAAATGTTAAATCTAAAAATCTGCTGGCACAAAACATCCATGAAATTTGGAACACTATGAAAAGTTGAAATTTAAGAATAATTGAATAGAGAAAGGAACATCAAGTGAAAGGTACAGAAAATATTTTCAACAAAATCATGGAAGAAAATGTCCCTAATCTAAAGAAGGAGATGCCTATCAAAGCACAAGAAGCATACAGAACAGCAAATAGACTGGACCAGGAAAGAAAGTTCCGTAGGCACACAATAACCAAACATTAAGCATACAGAACAAAAAATGAATAACAAAAACTTCAAGGGAAAAATACCAAGTGGCATATCAAGGCAGACCTATTATAATTACACCTGACTTCTCAATGGAGACTCCAAAAGTCAGGACAGATATGTGGACAGATATGCTCGCCTGGACAGATACACTGCAGACTCTAAGAGACCACAAATGCCATTCCAGAGTACTATACCCAGCAAAACTTTCAATTACCATGAACGAAGAAGATATTTCATGATAAAACCAAAATTAAGCAATATCTATTTACAAATCTAGATCCATAGAATGTGCCAGAAGGAAAACTCCA